GTTACAGAGGTTCTTGCTAGTCTCCAGGTTTATTAGTATGATTATTAGGTTGGTCTAGTGCAGGGGTCAGCAACCTGCAGCTCTGGAGCCGCATGTGGCTCTTTCATCCCTCTGCTGCGGCTCCCTGTTACTCAAAATATGCGTCACAACTGCCAATGTGCAACACCCGCCGGCACGTGATTTATTGAGCTTTTCAACCCCCGGTAGGCCAATCATGGATAAATCCAAGAAAAGAAAAGTTTCAGAAGAAAACAGAACATTTAATTCAACTACATATGCTAGTTTTGTGGCCGCTTAAGAAATAGTCAGGCACGGGAAGGGTTTTGTGGCTCCTGGTGTTTTCTTTTCTGTGGGAAACGGATCCAAATGGCTCTTTTGAGTGTTTAAGGTTGCAGACCCCTTGTCTAGTGATTAAGGCACCAGACTAGAAAGTGGGAGACGGTGAATTCTAGTCTCACTTTAGGCATGAAAGCCAGCTGGGTGACTTTGGGCCAATCATCAGGAGACAGTGAATTCTAGTCCAGCCTTAAACATGAAAACTGGCTGGGTGATTTTGGGCCAGTCTCTCTCTCTCTGAGCCCAACCCACCTCATAGGATTGTTGTTGTGGGGAAAAAGAGAGGAGGAAGATGTGTTGGGTATGTTCGCCACCTTCAGTTATTAGTAAACATAATAAAGGGGGAGATACAAATAAACAAACCAAATCAAAAATTCAATATATCCTGTCTTTATTTGGACAACTCAAAGCAGAGCGCAATGCTCCTCCCCAGAACAACCCTTTGAGGTGGACTGGGGGGGGAGAGAAAGAGGGACTGGCCCAAATAACCTAGACAGCTTTCATACCCATGGCAGGACTAGAATTTATAATTTTCCCAGTTTCTACGCTATTTATTTATTATTTATTTTTATTAGTCATATTTCTATGCCGCCCACTCTCCGAGGACTCTGGGCGGCTTACACCAAAGACAGTATACTAAATAGCATATTGCCCCCTAACAATCTGGGTCCTCATTTTACCCACCTCGGAAGGATGGAAGGCTGAGTCAACCTTGAGCCGGTGAGGTTTGATCCGCTGATCTGCTGAACTAGCAGTCAGCTGAAGAAGCTGCAGTACTGCACTCTAACCACTGAGCCACCTCGGCTCTTAGTACTTTAGAGCAGTACTCTAGCACCCATAACCACCACACCAAACTACCTATATATAGGTAGTCCTTCAGTTATTATGGCAACCGAGCCCAGGGTTGTTAGAAAATAAAGGTCATAAAATGAAATTGCATTGCTTACAATGGTAATTCCAGCAGTCCTGGTTGTTGGGACTCCATGGGTCATTAAGCAGGAATCCCAGGTAAGGAATGGGGTGGGTTCTTATTGGTGGGGAGGGGAGGCTGGAAGAGGTTGTGGGAGGGCTAACAGAGGCCATGTGCAGGCAGGGGGGGGGGTGAGGGAAAGTCCAGCAAGTGGAAGAAAAAGCAGGAGGATTGACTCACCACATCAACTTGTGACCTTCCCTGCCAACTTCCCCATTGACTTTGCTTGTGCAAGGAAGATCACCAATGGTGATTACATGACCTCAGCTTGCTGTGATGTTATAATGGCAAGCTAAGCATCTGAGGGCCGATGCTCCAATAGCCAGAACTTCCAAGATCCGGTCATAAATTGATTTTTTTCCCCCAGCACTGCCATAACTTTGAATGATTGCTGAATGAATGGACGTAAAACAAGGATTACCTGAAAGCCAATCCACACTAACCATGTGTATTGCATCGATGTATCTAATAAACCCATCAAATCTAATCTATTGTATATATCGTATTAATCCTATCTACTCTATGCATCAAATCCTGTGTTTCTCAACCTTGACAACTCTAAGATATGTGGCCTTCAGCTGGTTGGGGAATTCTGGGAGTTGAAGTCCACACATTTTATGTTTTCAAGGTTGAGCAACACTGATCCTATCTATCTATCTTCTATCTATCTATCTATCTATCTATCTATCTATCTATCTCCAATTATTTTGAGGTAAGATGGGCAACCTACAAATTTTATGTCTGTCTGTCTGTCTGTCTCTCTCTCTACCATCTACCTAACACATCCATTCACCCTTCATAACTTTGTCTGTCTTATCTATCTATCCATCCATTCATCCATCCATCCATCCATCCATCCATCCATCCACCCACCCACCCACCCATCCATCCATCCAATTATCTTGAGGTAAGATGGCGACCTACAAATTTTATGTCTGTCTGTCTCTCTCTCTCTCCACCATCTACCTAACACATCCATTCACCCTTCATAACTTTGTCTCTGTCTTATCTATCATCTATCTATCTATCTATCTATCTATCTATCTATCTATCTATCTATCTCCATCCATCCATCCATCCATCCATCCATCCATCCATCCATCCATCCTTTCTTCCTTCCAACCAATCAACCAATCAACCAACAACCAACCAACCAACCAATTGACCAAACTTCTATAGGGACTTCCAAATTCCTTGATGCAATTTCTTTAACCCAACCAAGAATGTTCATTTATTTCCTAACCAGCTGCCTTGCAGATGTGATGCCCTACAACTATCATCTCCCCAGGCAGCTGTAACAGAGACAACGGATGTGTATATTAGCACACTCCCAACAACTTCGCAGGTAAATTATGGACCTCTATTGTCCCTAGAGAGCTTCAACCACTCTTCTGATAATTCTGCTATTCTAAAAGGTGACTATTACTCAGGATGGAAATGATGAACCCGTTTAAAAGTGAATTAAGTGGTTTAACAGTACAGTAAAATCTAAATTTAATGGGCTGTTTGTGAGAAATGGGTGCTTTTTCATCCCAATGTCCATTACATTTGAATTGATATAATTTGAGCCAATCGGCTTGTTTTGCGTAATTGATGTAAATAGCAATATTTGCAGTTAAATCTACATTTAATGAACAAAGCCTTGATGTAACAGACATTAAATGAGAACAAACCCTCAAGGAAAATAATGTAGCCCACTGTATCTGATTTCCATTGAAGTGATGTGTGTTAAACTGAAAGTTAACTGCAATTTCCCCCCCCCTCCCTGCCCTGAAGGATCTGCAGAATTGTACTTCCGTGAAGGGGTTGAGTTCCTTCAACAGAAAATTCTTAGCATTCCGAGCAAATAAAAATTCCCCATTGCTTTCGGGAAAGATAAGAAATTTTTTTCACATACCAAGCAAATGCTTAGTTGTGAATCAGATGCAAGAGCTGAAAGTAACCTTAAAGATCATCCAACCTGACCCCCATCCTTGCACCAAAATCCATTACTATAACAACCCAAATGTCTGTCAGCCTGCTTTAACAACTCCAGTAAAAGAAAATCCACTATTTCCTGGGACAGTTTGTTAAATTGTATGCTCCTATGGTTAAGGCAAACACTCTTCCAGGAGTGAAATCCAGCATGTTCTGGAGAACCGGTAGCGGAAATTTTGAGTAGTTCGGAGAACCGGCAAATACCATCTCTGGCTGGCCCCAGAGTGGGATGGGAATGGGGATTTTGCAATATCCTTCCCCCAGGAGTGGGGAGGGAATGGGGATTTTGCAGTATCCTTCCCCAGGAGTGGGGTGGGAATGGAGATTTTGCAATATCCTTCCCCTGCCACGCCCACCAAGCCACGCCCACAGAACCGGTAGGGGGAAAAAATTGGATTTCACCACTGCACTCTTCCCTTGTGATTTAAACCCACTGTTCCTTTTCTGTTTTATGGAACAATTCTGATCAATTCTACCCCATCTTCCAATAACAATCATTCAGATACTTGAAACAGCTATCCTGGGAATAAAGAGGAAAAGCAGAAGCCTCTTTCACCCGGAGAAAAATCTATTAACTACTAAAACTCTTCGGTCTGTAACCTTTAACTGGGCAAAATGGTGCACCATAGAGTCACCATTTTTGAATCAAAGTATTTCAAACAGACTAACTTACAAAATGCATCCAAAATCCGGGACCCACGACTCCTTTGGAATTGCAATTTTAAATTTTATAAAACATTTTATGACCTAAGCGTGGTTCTTCTTTTTTTTTTTAAAAAAAAATTAAATTTATTTTAATGCAAACAATCCGTCTTCCATTAAACAGTATGTCGTCTGGGTACAAATATTTTGTGCAATAACAGTTAAAGTTGACAATCATATTCATTATTTAATCTATTCTTAGCTTAATACCATTACATTAAATATCAAATACTATAACAATCCTCTTCTTACATTTATTTAACTCTATTAATGCATTTTCTATATTTTACTTATCTATTTTTATTTCTGATTTTTATATTTATTCTCTAACCATCGATAAAATGACTCCCATATAGTATAATATTCGGTTTGTTCTTTCTCTTTAATTGCCAGTGTTAACCTATTCATTTCTGCACATTCTCGTATTTTCCTAATCACATTCTCCTCTGTAGGGATCTCTTCACTTTTCCAATTTTGTGCAAATACAATTCTAGCTGTGGTCATTACATGGATAATCAAATATACATTTTCTTTGCTATACGTTTCTGGTAAAATCCCCAACAGGAATATTTCAGGTTTCAAGTCAATATGTTGTTACATCATCTTTTCCAACCATGTATGTATTTTTCTCCCAATATTTTTTGGCTTCTACGCATGTCCACCACATATGATAATACGAGCCAGGTGTCTGATGGCATTTCCAACATTTGATTCTAAAAGGCTTTATGACAGAGGAGAAAATGGCATAAAATATTCCCTGTGCTGGTAGGTGATTGTACTATTGCACTTCGACATGGGTTGCTTTCAAGGCAGGTACATCTGAATGCATCCCAGTTTTAGCCATGAAGGCAGTAAATTAGAAATCCTTTCATTGTTAAAAACATTGAGGAATCTGGTAAAGGAAATACCTTTAAAACAATGACTCAACGGGGCACCAGTTGTCTAATATATATATTTTAAAAATACGTAGTAGTCTCGCCATTCACGCAGAGATGCCATATTTAGGCTAACTCACCAAAAGCAGAGCCCGGATCTACTGCTAAATTCCAGGAACATTCGAAACCGCTTCTTCCAGACTCCGGAATGCAGGAAACCAAAACGGGTGACCGAAGTGTTGCCCTGCAATTCAGTTTTAAGTTTAAGCAAACACATTGTTGATGTACACGTAATTAGATGTAATTGTTAGCTGCGCCCTGTATTTAATCCTTTCATCTGAAATGATACAAGATGAAGAGGCATTTTCAAAAGCCATCATGGAAATAATTATCAAGCCAATCCAACTCTAGTTTCCATAACATTCTGATGGGTTTCTTTTATCTTTTTTTCTCTTCCTTCCTTCCTCTTTTCCCTCCCTCCGCTTCCTTTCTTCCTTTTCTTCCCATTCCCATCACCTCCTTCCTTCCTTCCTCCCTCACTTCCTTCCTCCCCTCTTCTCATTTTCTTTCCTTCCTTCTTCCTGCCCTCCCTCCCCATCTCATTTCCTTTCTCTCCCCTCTTCCTTCTTCCCCTTCTCATTTTTCTTCCTTTTCTTCCTCACTTCCCTTCTCATTTTCCTTCCTTCCTTTCTCCCCTCTCTTCCTTTGTCTATTTTTTCTCATTTTCCTTCCTTCCTTCCTCCACTCTCCTTTCCTCACTTCCATTCTCATTTTCCTTCCTTCCTCTTTCCCCCCTCTTCCTTTGTCTATTTTTTCTTTTTCCTTCCTTACTTCTTCCTCCCTCCCTCCCTCCCTTCCTTTCTCCACTCTTCTTTCCTCACTTCCCTTCTCATTTTCTTTCCTTCCTTTCTCCCCTCTCGTCTATTTATTCTCATTTTCCTTCCTTCCTCTTTCCCTCCCTCCCACCCCTTTCTCCACTCTCCTTTCCTCCCTTCCCTTCTCATTTTCCTTCCTTCCTCTTTCCCCTCTCTTCCTTTGTCTATTTTTTCTCATTTTCCTTTCTTACTTCCTTCCCTCCCTCCCACCCTTCCTTTCTCCGCTCTCTTCTTTCCTTCCTTCCCTTCTCATTTTACCCCCCCCCCAAACATATGATGCCATTCTCAATGTATAAACACTTAAAAACTATTCAGGAAGTACAGCAACTTCAGGCCTCTTTCTCAAATGTTTAACCCAAATTTATAAACGTTTAAATCTGGGTTAATTTCTTGGGGGGAGAGGGATTTAAATGAGGGACACAGGACCCATCCCATCCAGGGATGCCTCCGAATCCCTGTTCTGCTCCTGCAACAGAAACATTTTAAAAAATAAATAAATGGGGATTTCTGATTGCAAAAAGGCATTGCCTGTGCCCTGGAGGAAAGAAAGGAACATTTTGCCAATTTTAGCATCTTTGTGCTAAAAGTCCATAAACAGAACACTTTTATGAGCAGTCCCAACTGATGTACTTTCGTCCAATTCTGTTGCTACTGTTGTTCAGATTTCCTGGCAGGGATGAGTAGAATTCAGGTAGTCTTCAACTTACAACCATTCGTTTAGTGACCATTCAAAGTTACACCAGCATTAAAAAGAATATTATAGCCCATTTCAATAAATAAAACAGTTTTTAATCTTCCTGGGAAGTTGATTTCCTGGCCTGCTCTACCAAGTGAGGCTACTCCAACACCAACCCTGTGCAAATGTGTAGGAAAGCTAATTTAAGCATCCAGGAATGGGCAACCCATAAACCTTCATAACTGGACTGCTGCACTGTTCCCCAGCCCCTATTTTTCAATCCCCCCCCTCCCTGGAGCAGACCTCCTGTTTACATGCAAAATATCAGGATCCAAAACCCATTATCCCCTAAAAGGGCCAGCGCATAACTTTTCCTAGGATCGCAGATCGCTCAAAACGGTGAATAAGAGCCCAGAAATAAAACGTGAGATTGCACTGGGTCGCACAGCAATGAGAAACATGAGCCGAATATGGCAGTGATGGCAAACCTTTTCGGCACCAAGTGCCCCAACCGGAATGTATGTGCATGCACACACATGCATGTGTGCTGGAGCCCCGGAAACTCGAAGACCAGCTGGCCAGTGTGCATGTGTGTCCCGGCCCCTGGTCTTTGGGTCTGGTTTTTGCGCCTGCCGGAGCCCCGGAAACTCGAAAACCAGGGGGCTGGCGTGCATGCAAGACAGGAAGAAAATGGACTCATTTGAGCTGTGATGCTGGAGAAGGCTCCTGCGTATTCCTTGGACAGCGAAGGGAACTAACAGGCAAATGCTGGAGAGCCAGGGTGGATAAAAATCAATGATTTTTTTTAAAAAAATAAAAAAAAACGGATTTTTTTTATTTAAATCGGATTTTTTTGATTTCAATCGGATTTTTTTTATTCAAATCAGATTTTTTTTTTTTTATTGAATTTATTTTAATAAAAAAAATTTGGGGTAAAAATCTATCGTAAGATAGTTTTCTATTTAAGATACATAAATAATTTAGTTCATTCAGCATGAAATGGAGCTTAGTTATGTAGCTAATGAGGCTGTATATTCTGCAACACTGGGACTATCGGTGAGTCAACAGCGGGTCAAAGGAGTAGCAGAGATGACAGTTGCTCTTTAAAAATTATGATTTAAATCGAGTTGATTTAAATCAAGTCTTTTTACTAGTGATTTAAATCATGATTTAAATCATGATTTAAATCAACTCGATTTAAATCAAATCCACCCTGTGGAGAGCATAACACCAGATATGTCACTGGAAGGCAAGAATCACAAAACTGCATTTCACTTAGTTTGGCTATGACATGTGGGGGAATTCACTGGCGAAAGCAATTATGTTTGGAAGAGTTAAGAGGTCAAAGGAAACCAGGCCGTCAAAGAACAGCTGGACACCATCAACAACTGACACCAGCCAGGGCACAGAACAACTCGAAGAAGTAGTCAAGATATTGGAAGATGTGGAGAGACCTGGTCTATAGAATTGCCAAGAGTCGGACACCACTAAATGGATAACATCAACATCATCATCATCATCATGGAGATTCTCAGTCATCCAGGTCATGGTTGTCCCAAAGGTGCTTTTTCAAAAGCCAACTGAGTTTTCTTTGTTTTTCCTCGAAGACATTTTGTTGAACTGAAGAAGCTGCTTGGGCGAGAAGAGAAATGTCTTCAAGGAAAAACAAAGGAAGGTCCAGTTGCCTTTTGAAAAAACGCACCTTTGGGATGAGCCTCATTGTAACCTTTGAGGGTGACCATCCATCAATGAAAAACCAACCTTGGTTGTTGTTTTTTTCCCCAGGGATTGATGATCCATCACTCCTCCCATCTGCAACCACGAGAGAAAAAGAGAAAGTATGGCTCACACGCCTGCCCAGGTAGACATAATCCCCAACACACAGGTGTTCTGTGCCAAGACTCATCAAGCAACTCCAGAAAGCTGTCTCAACCCAACAGGTGGGAAAGCACCTACTCATCACTGCCTTCCACCCATGACGCGTTTGTTCATGGCCAAGTCAAGCCAACAAGAAGGGTCAAGAGGGAAAACCCTACTGCCTTCTCCGGGAGAACTGGAGCGTCTGGGAACGAGGCGGCTGTCTTATTTATTTATTTATACCTCCTCGGCGTCTCAACCCCTAAGGGTAGTGACAGCGTGAGAACCGGGGTGTGTCTCTCTTGGCTTTCCAAGAAAGGGGGGGGGGGGGAGAGAGTTCCCCTTCTTAATTGCTTCGCTTGTCTCCACCACACCTGCTCCTTCCCTTCTTCAGTAAGGCAACTGAGGGCAAGCATCCAAGGCAAATGAGTGTATCTGTCTGGAGATGCAATTTCCATGCGAGTAAAACAGGCTGGAACCGGGAAAGGTAAAGGTTCCCCTGACACATATGTGCTAGTCGTTCCCGACTCTAGGGGGCAGGGCTCATCTCCATTTCAAAGCCGAAGAACCAGCGTCTCCCTGGTCATGTGGTCGGCATGACTCAACGCCAAAGGCGCACGGAACGCTGTTATCTCCCCACCAAAGGGGTTCCCTATTTTTCTACTTGCATTTTTTACATGCTTTCGAACTGCTAGGTTGGCAGAAGCTGGGACAAAGTAACGGGAGCTCACCCCGTTACGCGGCACTAGGGATTCGAACCGCTGAACTGCCGACCTTTCGATTGACAAGCTCAGGGTCTTAGCCACTGAGCCACCACGTCCCTGGCTCAGTGTCCTGAAACCTGAAAAAAAACCTGAAAACCTGAAAAGTCCTGGAACCAGGAAAAGGGGCACGCTATCAGGCAAGGAACAGACAGAGAGATTCCCTGCAAATACCAGATAGTAAATCTTTTTTTATTATTATTTGGCTGTTGAGAAATAAAAAAGAACTTCCTCACAGCTTAGTCCAAGGTGGTATTTTTGGGGTACAAGTAGTCCTCGACTTACGACCACACTTTATGTTGCTAAGCGAGACCGTTGTTAAGTGAGTTTTGCCCCAGTTTATGACCTTTTTTGCCACAGTTGTTAATTGGACCACTGCCGTTGTTAAGTGAGTTAAGTGAATGTGGCTTCCCCATAGACCTTGTCAGAAGGTCGCAAAAGGGGATCATGTGTCCCCGGGACACTGCAACTGTCAGGCAGATAGTTCTCCACTTACAACATTTCGTTTAGTGACCGTTCAAAGTTACGACGGCACTGGGAAAAGTGACTTATGACCATCTTTCACACTTACGACCGTTATAGCATCTCCATAGTCACGTGATCAAAATTCAGACACTTGGAGAGAATTGAGATATCTGATCGTGAATGTATTAACAGCGGCTAGAATTGTGTGTGCTAAAAATTGGAAAAATGAGAAAATACCAATGCAAGATGAAGTTATTAATAATGGAATGTGCTGAAATGAGTAAGCTGACATTTGAAATTAGGAGGAGGAGGAGGAGGAGGAGGAGGAGGAGGAGGAGGAGGAGGAGAAGAAGGAGAAGAAGAAGAAGAAGAAGAAGAAGAAGAAGAAGAAGAAGAAGAAGAAGAAGAAGGGGAAGGGGAAGGGGAAGGGGAAGGGGAAGGGGAAGGGGAAGGGGAAGAAGGGGAAGGGGAAGGGGAAGGGGAAGGGGAAGGGGAAGGGGAAGGGGAAGAGGAAGAGGAAGAAGAAGAAGAAGAAGAAGAAGAAGAAGAAGAAGAAGAAGAAGAAAGAAGAAGAAGAAGAAATAATGATGATGATGATGATGATGATGAT